AAAACAACTAATAGATCACTAAATTAAGCAAATTCATTTATTAATAATAAAACTATTTACCGTCTACTTACCACAGTGAAATTTATAGAAAACAACATATAGAAAATAATAACATTATATATATAATGATTTCATATATAGTTGGCAATATCGCACAAATCATACTTTCATATTTAAATCATCAAACAATAATTGCTTATTTTTCCCATCAGCTTGCTGGTATCCATAAGGGTTCATAGGAATTTTTCTGCTACACGTGAACCTTTTCCTTTAACATTCTCAATTACGGGCCGTCCCCATACCCTGTCTTATATGAACGCCAAATTACCAAATCTCAATACCCTGTCTGGTATGAGGGTGAAGCCAGACATCCCCATACCCCGTCCGGTGTGAGCGCTAAATTACCAAGTCTTCATACCCCATCCAGTATGAGACACGTTCACGGTAGGGTTCTCTGTATACCTTGTCCATCCACCATCTCCCAAAATGTCCAGTAAAGCTGTCGTTTCATTCAGTTACTTAATCACACAAGTTTTTCGTTTACTTTTAACATAAAATTTTCTAATTCAATCGTTAACAAGTAAAATAACAATACATACATTCAAACCTATAAAATAAATCAATAAAGCACTATCATACATTTAAATTGTAAAAACAATCAACAGAAATCAACAAGGAATAGTTTTTTATTCTGCATCCATTAGAAATCCGTAATTAATTATGAACATTTTAATTAAATTTCAATTCCATAACATAGAATAGAGTGAAAAATTCATACTAATTTGATACCCGAAATGCTAAACTATTGACTGCACCCACTAGCGATCCCCAGGTTCCCTGAATTTTTCTTCGAGAATCAAAATATGATATAAGTACCTACAAATGTCCCAAACAAACTCTAAATCAGTCTTAGGGCCCATTTGGCCAATTTCAGAATTCCGGCACGACGGCGGTCCACCTCAAGTCGGTTGTTTTCGGTCGATTTCGTATTAATCCCTGCGAGAAAACATGCTAAGGGGCATCGGTTGATCGAAAAAATACAAAAAATTAAAACTCACCAGCGCAGAGCTCTCCGGTGCGGCAGCTCCTTCGGCTCACGCTGCGATTGAGTATTTTGCTCCGGTAAACCTGTATAGAAGGAAACGGTGATCACAACGGTTGAAAAATTACGTAGAATGGGAATTAGGAAGGGCCTCATCGGAGGCATTTTGTGGAATTCCTTGGGGCGGCGCCGTCGGACTTTGCCCACATTTTCCGATCAATCGACTGGTCATTTTGCTCCGATTTGGCCATGTGTGTGTTTAAAATTTAATTATGAATAAAGAATTTTTCTTTTTACCTATTTTGGCAGTCAGAAAGGGCTCCGACACGACGATAGGTGGTGACGATCTCCTTCCCGACGGCTGGTTCTTCTTCTCTGGCGAGGGGGTCTGACGGCTAGGGTTAGAGTTTGGTGTGGATGGAGATTATTTATATTCATCCACTTTTGATTTTGGTCGTTCATCGCATTTGATCTAGACTGTCCGATCGCGATTAAATAGGGAGTTAATCCGAACCGTTCATCGCGATCCAATCTAGATCGTTCATCACAATCTAATCTGAACCGTCCAATCGCATTCAAATCTGACCATCTGATCACGTTTGTGGGGGAACTCATCTGGGCCGTTCGTCTGCGCGGGAACAGATCTGAGCTGTTCGATCGCGGGCACATGGATCACCCGCGTGGCACCGTGTCAGTGTCCGCTATCACGCGACGCGTTCTATCTCGTCGGGGCTGCTGACCAGGCATCCTACGTGACAAAACTTCTTTAAATTGTATTTTGATATCTGGTTTTTTATTTTTCTTTCAAAAATACTCACAGAATTCAAATTTTCACCAATTTTTCTCAAAATTATTTTCAATTTAATTCTCTATCAATTTTATTTCATTTTTTACTCTAAATTAAAATTAAAAAATAAAAAATTATATTTAGAAAAAAATCTTAAATTATATTAAAAATTAATTTAGGGTATTACATTAACTATTGTATTGATTTTGTTCCACATTTAACTCTTTCATAAATTTTATTGTCAGCCCATTTGAATTTAAGCGATAAAAAATCATATATATATATATATGCATAGAAAAATAGACTATGATTGTTTGAATTAATAATACTTTAATTTATATAATAATTAATTAATATTTAAGAAACTATGTATCAGCATTAATATAGATATGGTACATGAAAATAGTTAGCTACTAAAATTTTAAAATTGTATACATTTAATTATTTTTCAATATGTTTTAATAATAATAAAACTAGATTGAGTATCATCTTCATTATTATTACATTGAGTCATGCCAGTACATTTCATTTAATTATAAATATCCATCATAAATTTAATAAAAATTATCCATAATTCACATAAAAAAATTACTAATTTATATAGAAAAATATGTTTTCGATTTGTATTTGTTAACACATACTTGATGAGAGACTCGATTAAGTTTGGGTGACGATTGAAATTATCATATACATTATAAAATAATAATATTTAAAATTATAAAATTTGTAATAATAATAAAAATAAATTTAATATTGTACCATTAATTTATCATTTAAATATCTTAATATTAACAAAAAAATTTGTTTAAAGATATCAATTTTTAGAAGCTATTAAATATGTTTCTGTATTTGATTTTTGATATTTTTTTTTATTATATAAGAAGATATATTCATATATGTTTTAATTTTTTAAAAATATTTTTATACTACTTTTAATTAATTTTTACATTTTAAACACATTTTTCTATCAAAATTTTAAAATAAAATTAATAATAGGAGAAAAAGTGTATAATATTTTGTGAAATATGATAATTTTTTTTTTAATTTTTTTTATAGATTTTAAAATTAGTAAAGTGAGTAAAGCTTGGTTTAATTCGCCTGTAGATTCAAATCAGTAGATTTTCTAAATGAAACAACTATTAGTTTATTATATTTATTTAAATGGAAATGTAGAACAAGGGATTTTGGCAGAAGAAGAAGAAGAAGAAGAAGAAGAAGAAGAATCTGATTTTCTTTTTCAAAGAATTTTCCTTGAACTTGTATTTCATTCTTCTCTGCAACAATGGCGTAATAATGCAAACAAGAATCTCAATCATATATCAAGCCTTTTGCCTACCTGGCCTCCTAGAAACCTCTGATGGTACAACGGCGTCGGAGTTGAGTTTGTGTCAAGGTAATGAAGTATAATTACTATGACGATCGAGGAAACAAACATTGGAATTGGACCGAAAAACCAGAGAAGAAAATTGAAAGCGAAATACAGAGATCTAAGCCCGATCGACCAGAAATCACCTCCTCTTACTACTGTATTCTTCACAATTTCAGGAGGTATGTCATTTCCCGGTGTGGTTATCAGATAAGTTGCGTGGATGAAGTACCTCGTTGATTGGATGAAGCAGGCGAAAGCAAGGACGAAACAGGTGAGCAAGCATATGTACTTGATTGATATGGTGGCTGGCCTTGTATCGCCATAGATTAACTTGTTTTCGAAAAGGTTGTTGGAGGAGGAGTTTCCGAGCCAGGCTCCAATTACAGAGCCGAGAGTTAAGGAGATTGAAGCTAAGAATGTTGCAGCAGAGGTGTTTGTTGAAAGTACAGAGAGAGCCATATTTACATTAGCCTTATCTACCTGCAAAACCATAAATCCATTTTAAAAAATTAGGGTTACAAGATCCGAAGAGTAATCAGTAAGTTGACTTGCCTGCATAATTCTGTCAACCCAGATTTTCTTATCATTGTTCATGAAGCCAATTACTGTTGTGTAGGGAAGGTAGAGGACTCTGTAAAGAAGGATGAGATGGTAGCAGAACATGACGAGCAAGCCCAGAGGGACAAAGAACAAATCAAGGTGCTCTTTCTCAAACAACATTTTTGTTTATGTGATGATGATAATGGTAGTGGAAAAAAAAAAGTACTTGATAATAAAGCTTGGAGTTTAATTAGTTTAAACCAGAGATGGGAGCTATTTTGTAGCCATTGACTTTGCTCATTTTATGAAGCCAAGACAACTTGCAATCTTGTAATTACAGTTCATATGGAAAGAAACTGGCATTTAAAAAATTGGATATTTATGATTGCAAATGTTAAATTATGGTAAGGCAAAACCTTCAGGATTAATTCAATATGCATAATTAAATCATAAGCATGTGCTGTTAGTAAAATAGAAAAGCAGATAAATTCATATTGGTATAATACGAATGGACAGAAGACAATCCAGCCATGCAAACTCTGGGATTTTTTTAAAATAAATGCTATCTATACTCTCATGCATAGGGCTGCTGTACTCAATTGTTATGTAAAAGTAAAGGAAAATAATTATTGGTTTTGCTTAGTAACGTAATGGTTAAGAATCTATACATAATTATATATTTGAAATCAAAGTTTTTGCTCTGATTGCATTGAAATCACTCTTTTTCTTGAAAATCACTCAAATACTCTGTAGTTTTATTCTGAGTTAAAATTGGATATTAGAAAATCTATGATAAAGTAGAATAACCATTTTTGGAGGGTATGCTATTCAAATTAGAATTCGTTGGTTCTTATTTGTCTTTGGTTATGGAGGTAGTACAATAGTTTTCTATTCAATGTTGGTGAATGGCAAGTCGTGACGTCTGTATATTTTCAGGGAGGGTTACTCTTCAAGGAGACTTTGTCTTCTCTTATATTTTTATTTTGTGTACAGAAACTTTTTCAGTAATGTTAAGACAGGTTGAAGAGAAAAGAAATGTTCATGAGATCGAGATTCGTTGAGCAACATAAATTATTACTCACTGATGATAGCATTATCTTTGGAAGAGCAAAGGTGGAGACTATTGGTAGACCGGTGTATATGGTGGGTGAGAAACTGGTGGCTACATGAATGAAGTGGATGAATCTTCACACTCTAATTTAAAACTTTAAGAGTTCTTTTTTTTTTTTTTCGGTGAATTGGAGCCTTAAGGATAAGTTTTGTTGGGGAATAATGAAATAGATAGCTCGAGTTCAACAACTTTAACTTGCTCATTATCTTCAAAATGTATATATAGTTTATCGAGATTAGAGAAACATAATAGTTTTGCTAAAACATTATAATGGTGTTTTAGGGTTAGACGAAATACCATCAAAGGATATGTATAATTTAATTATGGAGAGAGATTCCTATAATGTATTTAAATTCATTAGTTCTCTAGTATCTTTATGTTTCGAAAATTTGAGTTCTTAGTAGAAGATGTTTTATCTTTAGTTTATTTGCTTTTATTTTTTTCTATCATTTTGGGTTTTTAGAGATTATAATAATATAATTCATACTTTACCTAATTAGATATTATATTTATTGATGTTGTTACTTCTTCGTACGAAACTCTTAATTCCGACTTCCTTAACTGGCAAGAAAGATCAAAATTTGATTTTTTTCCTTTAAAGAAGAAACGAAGTTCTTGACAATTCAAGTAGAAAAGCATTGTCATATATTTAAGGAAAGAGATTTTTTAAAGGCATCTAAAATGAGAATTTTAAAAAGCAATGACTTGTGGAAATTAACCATAAAGAAGACATTTTTTTTATTTTAAAAAAATGGGTTTGATTTTACAAATTAAAAAACATAATCAATACATGGAGGTTAAAATTCTTCAATTAGTGGATTTGAGTTTGCGATTTAAGCAAGAGTTGAATGATTAATTATTGGAATTGATTTGATGAACAGCCATTCGCCCTTGTTGAATTATGAAACCCAAGTTCTGTTCAATATTTAAGGTAGCGTTGACAAATGGTTTGTAATTATGGAGATTAACATATATAGATCAATACACTAAATGATGAGAGTGGGGCAGACATTTCATCAGAGCTGCTTCGCCTTTGCTCGTTACTGTAGAGAGATTACGTTGTCGACTTCTGATTGGTGCACACTTTGTCTGTATATATATATAAAATATATAATATATTTGTATATTTGCATATGCGTATGTTTCTGTACGTATAGTAAACCTAATTAGAAGTTGAATTGGGCCTGATGACCTACCAGTAAGATTGGGCTCTGAAACTAACCATTTTTCCATTGTCTTTCAATCAACAGAACAAAAACCATCATAAAATTGCGATCCACGGAGACTATTTCGTTTACCTTCACCTCCGATTAGGGAAGTAGAGGATTGTCGACACAGAGACCTGTTACTGGTAAGCGTGTTTCTCCGTTCAATTTTTTCTTTAGATTAGACATATCCATATTTTTAAATTTCAGTTTTCTTCTCTGTTATGTCTGTAATACACGTCTCTAACTTTGATAATGGCGTAATTTTTTCATTTTTTAATTTTGATAATTGTTTCCAGATAAATTAACAAAGATCTCAGTATTTTTGTTTTCGTCAATGTTTTCCGTATATTTTTATAGATAAATTTATTTCTGAAACCATCTATGATTACCATTCTTGCACAAATTTAGTTAATGTTGCCGCTTTTCGCTCTGTTCTGGAACTTTCGGGAGTTTCTTATAGTTGCAGATTTCTATTGTTGACTCTCATAACAATGGTGATCGAATTATATGTCCGAACTACAACATTTATTTGTGTTAACTTATTATCGGTTTAGGTTTAGTTTCTTTGTAACTGCATCATATGGAGAATGAGTCTGTGCGTGTTTTAGCCTTTTGAGTGTATTGAAAATAAGCAATTCTTCTCTCTAATAGAGGAATATACAAGTCTTGTTTCTACGCATAGGTTTCTTGTTGCATAGAAAATTTTCGCCTCCATGTTGTAAACAAAAATATTATCTACTTTTTGATTTTATTTCTTGTACATACACATATATATGGTTGTTGAAAGTAGAACTGTTTTGATGTTTTCTTTAATTACAGCTATAAATGCTTTTGTGCATAAGCATATGAATTTTGGGAGTAAAAATTTTTAAAAAATCTTTCCGTTAGCACCACAAATTGAAGGCAACTACATCATGTTGTGTTTCCTCACCATAAAAACCTATGCAGAATCAATGATGATGATGTAGCTTCACCCAGCCTTCAAAATCAAGTAAGAATCAGTGACTAAACATAGATTGATATCTCAAGTTTCCCTTCTCTTTCTTGACAACACAGACTCAGTTCTCAAGTTGTAGACTATGGCTTTTGTGACCTTAACATAGATTTGATTGCAATGCTGGACTTTTGTTTGCAAGTGGTTGTCCAAACATAATGTTTTAAAGGACTGGGTTTTCTCTTTCTTATTTCTGAAATTCTTTCCTTTTGAGATCTGTGAGCATTATGCAATTCCCTTTCTCAAACATGTAATCTGCTTGAATTTAAAACTTTTCATTTATGATCTTTTAGCTTTTATTTGGATGATGGAAGTTTATTATTCGAATGGGTGCAGGAATATTTGCTTTTACTGGTTACAGGATGTCTTCTGCACAAGATCCATTTTATATTGTGAAAGAGGAGATTCAAGAATCTGTAAGTTTTCTGTGTTGTTGCAATTGTTGTTGTGTTGTTGTTATGGTTCGTGGTTGTGAGGACATAGCTTTCTTAATTGAAAAAATAAAGATGATGTCAAGGATATAGAAAAGTTTGGTTTATTACTTTTGGGCTATATCTATATTAAAAGAGTATATAATTATTTTAATTGTGGTCTTTAGATTATTTATATTGTAATTCTTTAGTTAATTGCAGCTAACTTTTTGCTCTTGCTCTTTAGCTAAGCTCTTTTGAATTAAGAAAAAAAAGGTAAAAAGCTAGTGGATTAAGTCAGGGGATTTTCATGTGACACATTTGTGAAAGAAATATGTGAATAATTTGATGCAAGTGGTTGAAAGAAAATGGATCTGGAAGTATATTTATGTTGCAATAGCCATCTCTAATCTTCTTAACCTTGTTGTAATGAACATATTGGGATTTTAGCACATGGAACAGAATAAGTGCTTATATGTGCTTTCTTGTGCAGATAAGTACCTTTAATATGGTTAGGTTCTGTTAAAGCAGTTATTTTTAGTAAATGAGATCTAGGTACTGTCAATTGAGGTTATTTAAGATGAGAAGAACTCTCAATTTTAGTTTACAACCGTAAATTATGGATCTCCAGGTTGGTTTATTACTAATCTCTCTTCCTCTCTCTTACTTGTTTGTGTGGTTGCTTTGCTTGGAATTTTTTTTATTGAAATGATCTCCTTGCAGTCATGAGGATATATCAGCTAACTTGTTTTCTGGGTCAACTTTGTTAGATTGATAAGTTGCAATCTACTTTTCGCCAATGGGAACGAATTCCTCCTGATACTGGAGACCAGGTGCATCTCACGAAGGAGCTGGTTGCTGGTTGTGAGAGCATTGAGTGGCAGGTATTAAAATTTTGCATATTTGGTGGGTCAAAATTCTCTAGCATTTCTTTTTTTTTTTTTTAAATTGCTTATTGGTTATTACTGTGATTTTGGATACATAGGAAGTCAGTGAGAAATCAGAGTCAGCAGTACTAGTTGTGCATTTTTTTTTTTGAAATAAAGCTGTGCATGTCTTTTATATTATGTTCTAGGACA